GCTGTGATGCCGACGCTGGTGTTATGAGCCATGGCTTAACCTGCTGTGCCACACGCCAGCCTCTGGACCTGTTTTATGAAAGGAGAAACTTGAGGACCTATCAGGTTACTTCCAAACGGTCAGCAGCCCCCAGGTCTACTTTTCAAAACCCAGTTCTGGGCTACAAGATTTTCCTTTCAAAGGTAGTTTTTCTGTTAAGATGTCTTGTTCCCCTAATGTGTTAGAAAAGTGCAGGCTCATGTAAAAATTCTTACAACTTCGAAAATGTGTCCCATCAGTCCCCCAGTGCTTGTCCTGGACAGATCTGAGTTCACACTCTGTACCTGAGGACACATGTAAACCTCAGGGACCCTGTGAGGACGGTTCTATCTGGCATAGCTTTGCCTGTGCACCCTAGGTAAGGAAGGTCACACAGTAAGTGAGGTTGTCGGGTTTCAGAGCTGGGCAGTCTGGGTCCAGAGCTGAGCTCAGAACCGCCAGGATGTGCTATGCTCGGACTCAGCTGGAAGCATCTCAGGTTTTAAATGGCACCCTGTCTGCCTCAGGGCACCCCGCCATTCCCGCCCTGGCAGGTGCCTGCCCTTGCTGTCACAGAGGGACTCACCCTGTCTGTCACAGGGCACCCGCCACGCCCGCCCTGGCAGGCGCCCGCCCTCGCTGTCACAGAGGGACTCACCCGTGTCGTGGGAGGGTGAGGTGTGTATGCCAGCGGCCGTGTCTGTGTTCCTCCCTTGGATCCTCACCACGCCTGCTGCCATCCCGTTCCCCGTGTGGTGCAGTGAGAATGCTCCCTCCCCCTGAGTCAGTGGCTGAATTCTGTTTCTCAAGGCAGCGCTGGGTCCTGGGCCACAGCCATGCTGTTCTCCCCGGTGTCACAGCTCGGCTGCTGTGGTGCCTGGAGCTCCGCAGGTGCGGGGCTTGTGACAGGGGCCGTGGGTGGGGCCTGAACTGGTGCTGCGTTTCCTTAGCAGAGCACTGGTTTTACCCAAACTCTGTGTTCACAAATGAATACTTCTAAAATAACCAAGTTTGCTTTCTTCTTTGTAGGTTTTGTTTATTTGCAAGGCAGAGTTAGAGAGGGAGATACGGAGAAAGGTCTTTATCTGCTGGTTCACTCTCCAAATGGCTGCAGTAGCCAAGGCTGGGCCAGACCAAAGCCGGGGACCTGGAACTTTATTCAGGTCTCCTCTTGGGCCATCTACTGCTGCTTTCCCAGGTGCATTAGCAAGGAGCTGGGTCGGAAGTGGAGCAGCTGGGCCTTGAACTGGTGCCCATATGGGATACCGGCATGCGGGCAGCAACTTAAATCATTAGGCTGCAGTGCCAGCCCCAGATAACCTAAGTTTTCTACCAGTTTCTTCTCTTTATAGTTTACATAATACCAAGAAACCGATAACTTCCCATGTCACATAATACTGGTCTTGCTCCTGTGACTTGGAGCATGGAGGCCTAGAGCTGACCACGCATGCCCGTGTGCCGATGTGGGCAGAGCAGAGCCTGCTTCTGGTTTTATTGTGGGCTAGGTTGGGCTTCCTAATCCAGGCTCTTGCCTCTTACTTAGAGAAGCATTCTAAATACAGGCACAAACACAACGTGCAAAGTGATAAAGCTTATTTACAAAGTGAGGAAAGCGCTCACACACACATGTGGGCGTTGTTCAGGGAGAGTGGGCCAGGGAAGGGAAAGAGAGGTTTTTATATGCTGCTCGCTTAGGTCCACGTGGAGAGACAGGGATTCCCGTCTGCTTCGCCGGGCTTCTTATGATCTTAGAAAGGGAAGTGTTTGCATGTACCACCCCAGGTCCCAGGGAGGGGTCATCTGATTGACAGCTGGGTGGATGAGATTACATGGGGCAGGGGAGGTGTGGCTTCCAGCCGTGACCCTACTCCAGCTGCCTGACTTATCCCAAATCAGTTTGACCCTGGGTTTGGCCACCAGTGAGTGTTGGTCATTGTCCTCCCCCTCCTCCTCCCCATGCCTCCCCCTCTCCCCCTCCCTCCTTCCTGTCTCTCCTGATCACGTGTGACAGCTCAGGCCTCCCTCGCAGCCTGCACCCAGCCTGTTAGGGGGTGTCAGGCCTGTGCTTTGTGGCACACCCCAGGGCTGGGATGTTCCGCTTCCTTTAATGGCGTGGGAGATGCTGGAAGAGCGTCTCTGGACCCAGCGCACAGACGAGGAACGCCCTCTGCTGAGTCAGTGCCTTCCTCTGTCTCTGCTCGTTGTGACTGGGGGTCAGCGAGACGTTGTTCTGCGAGCTGTTTGTGAACCCAGCCCCTCCCAGACTGTCCGCCAGTCTTTACGAACCTGAGTGCTCGCCGGGTCCTGAGCTGCCGGTGTCTGCTCCCCCCGGCTGTGCCGCTGTCCGCCCTCCTGCAGAACACAGGACCCCAGAGCATCATGCAGCTCTCCTATGCACGTTCCTCCCAGGTCTGTTTGCAGTGGATGTGGGAAATGGAATCCGAGCAGCCGCCTTCCCTGGCACAGGGAATGCAGTGTCCGGCCTCTGTGGTTTCCCTTCAGACCGTTCTCAGTGCACCTGCTGTTTCACCTTAACCTCCCTGACCATTCCCTGCAGTCGGGGATGAATCTGACCCACTGACCCACCGTCTGCTCTGGGCTGAGATGCGGCCTGGCTATGGCTTTGCAGGTTTAGGACATTGGACCTCAGTCTCCCCGTGAACCCGTGCACCCCCCTCACCCTGCAGGGCTGAACAGATGGAGCAGACACGTCTGCTGCTCCTGACACAGGAGGGATATTACCTGCGAAGCCACTGCGTTCTTCCCTTACACAGGAACCCAACCGATGAATTTGCCTTTGGTTATCCCTACAGATTTATCTGTTTGGAGGAACATCAGAGAGGGAGGGAGGGAGAAAGTGACAGAAAAGGAGAGAGAGAGAGAGAGAGAGCTGGCTCTCTTCTATCTGCTGGTTCACTCCCCAAGTGGTGGCAAGGCCAAAGCCAGGAGCCAGGAACTCCGCTGGGTCCCCCACATGGGTGGCAGGGACCCAAGTACTTGAGCCATCCTCCACTGCCTTCCCAGGTGCATCCGCAGACAGCTGGATTGGAAGCGGGGTAGCCAGGACTCAAAATGGCACTGTAATACCAGATGCTGGTATTGCGAACGGCTTAATCCACTTCACCGCAGTGCCAGTCCCTGCCTCAGGCTGACAGGGAAGTGAATGCTTCATGGCCTTTTCCAGATGCCTGGCATTGAGTCACACGCAGACGTGTGAGGCGTCGTTTGCATGCGTACTGGCAGGTGCATCACTTGTGTGTCTGTGCGTGTGTGATTGTGTGTGTGTAAGCTTAGTGTGTGCCTCGGGGGGAGGTCCCCGCTGACTCTCAGAATGTGTCTTCATATGGAGTGTTTTACTTCTATTTACATTTCTATAAAGTTGCAAGAACCTAAAATTAACGTCACAAAGCGCGTGGGTCACGGGGTGCATCTAGCTCACTGCACGCCTTGACCACTGTCACAGCACGGCGTAAAGGTTGCACAGGGCGTTGTGCACAGTCTGTTCCTGTTGTTCCGCATCTTGTAAAATGGTTCCAGAATGCACACGTTGCCAGGACATTAACAGTGACCGTTTTCCACACTACCTTACGCTTACGTCTCAGGTAGTAGTACCAAACTTGGGGTTGAGGTTTATTTAAAGTAAGGACCCCATGGCCCATCCCCCTAGAATGAACAAACTGTGAACCTGAGTACAGGCCATGTCCTGTTCACACCCGGCCTGCACAACTGAGCCGGCCCCACTTGGTTGCTGTGTGAACCCGCACCTCCGTGTTTTGTTCTGTGTCCCTTTTGTGGGTGCTTGGTTTGCAGTGATGTCTGGTAGCTCGGGACGAGGACCGATCTCAGAAGTGACCCACAGGTCTGTTGTCAGCCTGGCTGGGTCGCAGGCAGGCACAGCCGTCGGGGAGACAGTGGGGCAGGCTGCAGACGGCTCTGGGAGTGTTTGAAATTGTTCCCACCTATCATAGCATCTCTGCTCAAAAAAGTGAGTTAATGGGAATGCTAGCTAGATCAAACCAAATCATTGCAACTGCTATTTTTTTTTTTTTTGCTTTATTTATTTATTTTTTTATCTTTTATTTAATGAATATAAATTTCCAAAGTACGACTCATGGGTTACAATGGCTTCCCCCCCCATACCGTCCCTCCCACCAACAACCCTCCCCTTTCCCACTCCCTCTCCCCTTCCATTCACATCAAGATTCATTTTCGATTATCTTAATATACAGAAGATCAGCTTAGTATACCTTAAGTAAGTATTTCAACAGTTTGCTCCCACACAGAAACATAAAGTGAAAAATAATAGATGATTTTTTTAAAATGATGATGAAATCAGATCAGACCTATTGTCATGTTTAATCCCAGTGAGAGTCAAGTTGGGAATTGAAAATTTCTTTCTTTTTTTTTTTTTTTTTTTTACAGAAGATCAGTTTAGTGTACATTAAGTAAAGATTTCAGTCGTTTGCACCCCCATAGAAACACAAAGTGAAATATACTGTTTGAGTACTCGTTATAGCATTAAGCCTCAGTGTACAGCACGTTAAGGACAGAGATCCTACATGAGGAGTAAGTGCACAGTGACTCCTGTCATTGCAACTGCTATTAAATATCCTGTGGACCCCCTCCCCAGCCCTGGAAACCTGAGGCCACGCTCTACGTGACACGGGTGGGTACCACTGCCTCCCCTGGGCCCCAGAGCCTAACTGCAGATTTTGGAGGGATAGAGAGCCTGCACAAACCCTGCAGACTCACCGTGTAACACAGCGGGAGGAGGTGCATGCTCCTGGCATGCTGGGGTGGGCGGGGGGGGCGGGTGTTAGGTTTGCGCTGGCTCTTCCCTGGCCTCTCACGTGTTCCCTGTGCCTTTTGCAGGATCGGAGGGGCCATCCCCACCGTGTTCTCCTACTTTACAGGGGGAGGCGGGTGTTAGGTTTGCGCTGGCTCTTCCCTGGCCTCTCACGTGTTCCCTGTGCCTTTTGCAGGATCGGAGGGGCCATTCCCACCGTGTTCTCCTACTTTGCGGAGGTGCTGGCCCGGGAGAAGCGGGGGGAGCACCTGAGCTGGCTGTGCATGTTTTGGATGATCGGCGGCATCTACGCCTCCGCCATGGCGTGGGCCATCATCCCGCATTACGGTAAGAGGCCGGCCTCACGGCAGCGTCGTGTTCCTCTCTTTCAGTGCTGGTCTCACAGCAGCTCTGCCATCGAGTGCTTCTTGCTTTCGAGGTGTCTGCGAGCCCCCCCCACCCCCCACCCCCAGTGCGGAGATCTGTATAGAGTGGGACTGTGTCACCAGACACGGGCATACCTGTTCCCTAGCCGGTCTCCCAGGTCAGTGTCACACAGTTTAACCCCATAGTGACACCATCTGCCTGCGTCTGTGGTCAGGTCCCACAAGACCGGCCCAGCTCTGGGTGCCAGCAGCCAGGCCAGACACCCCCTCCATGTATCTGTGTTGCTGCAAAGAGCAGGTTTGCATTCTTTGTAAAGGCTGAATGGGGTGTGCGTGTGTGTGTGTGTGTGTGTGTGTGTGTCCCCGTCCTCTGTGTTCCCATGGGGATTTCACAGTTGCTTTCTTCTGTGAAAAAGTATCTTGATTTTGCTCAGGATTGCATTGAATCTGTAGATCGCTTTGGGCAGCATCAACATTTTGAGAACCGTAATTCTTCTAATCCATAAACACAAGACACTACCACATTGATTTGTGTCTTCTTCAGTTTCTTTCAGCAAATCTATGTCATCTTCAGCATACAGATCTTGCCTCTCCTTGGCTGAATTTACTCCAAGTCCTTTGTTCTTTTTTTGATGCTATTGTAAATGGAATTGATTCTGCTGCTCTCTTTCAGTTGGATCATTGTTCATAAATAGAAACAAAATGAGTTTTTCTGTGTTGACCTTATATCCTGAAACCTTCCTGAGTTCATTTGCCTATGCATAGCTTTTGGGGGAGCCTAGAATGTTCTCTGTGTAAGTTCCTGTCACCTGCAGAGAGCCAGCAGCTTCCTGTCTGTTGTCAAGGCCTGGTCTAGCCAGGGCCTGCAGGACCATGCTGGACGGAGGTGGTAGAGGGCATCCTTGTCTTGCTCTCGCTCTTAGAGAAGCTGCTGACCCTTCAGGGGGCCTGTTGGTGCTAAGTGAGGGACAGGCAGGCTGACGGGTCCAGGCGGGGTGGGGGGGACCGCGTGGGGGAGAGCCTGTTTGTGGTAAGTGAGGGACAGGCAGGCTGACGGGTCCGGGCGGGGTGGGGGAGACCGCGTGGGGGAGAGCCTGTTTGTGGTAAGTGAGGGACAGGCAGGCTGATGGATCCGGGCGGGGTCGGGGAGAGCGCGTGGGGGAGAGCCTGTTGGTGCTAAGTGAGGGACAGGCAGGCTGACGGGTCTGGGCGGGGTGGGGGAGACCGCGTGCGGGAGAAGAAGAGTTGAAACTGGGCTGAGTTTGCCGAGCTGCTTGTGCCCACGCTGCTCAGCTGTGGAGAGGGCAGGAGAGGCGACACAGGGCTGCGTGCGTGACTGAGGTGCCTTCCACTCCCAGGCAGCTGCTGAAGCCCGCAGCCCTCTTCCCGGAATCGTCTTACAACGCAGAAAGTGCACCGAGTGGGGCTGTAAGGAAGATTGTTCTGGTTAGATTCCACGGTGTACCGCATTCGAGGGAACCGCAACAGGACGGGGCTGCTGGCTCCACGGCTGCCAGTCGGCTTGCACTTCTTCCTAAACGCTGGGGACCACTGGGCCCTGGTTCCCTCCATGGGTGCTGGTCGGAGGACACCCAGCAGGCAGCCAGGCCCTCAGCCTGTCCAGAGGGACTAGCTGTGCGGCAGGGACGGCCCCCCCACGACAAGGCTCCTTGGTGGCTTGCAGAGGTTTTCACGCACATCAGTCCCGACACCGCTGCCGCGGCCATGACAGCCTCGCTGCCGCCACCGCTGCCGCTGGCCTCAAGGCCCCATCCACGGAGAGCAGCTGGCAGCACGGAGGGCAAGCCCGAGTTAGTTCTTCCTCTCAGGGCAGTTACGGATGGGCTCATTTCCTCGCCCTGCTCTGGCACAGATGTCGGTGGAGCGCCGGCTGTGGGCGCAGTGCATCACCGCCCCGGGGGGGGGGGGGCGCCTGACGGATGCTGCCATGCGGCTGCGGTGGGTGCCTGCAGTGGAGAGATAAACGCCAGCCGGGCCACGTTGCAGTCACTCACGGAGACATTGATCGTGGCTGAAGCCGAGTTGCTTTCAAAGCCAGCGGGCGTTCAGGGTTTCCAGCCGTTCTCAGCTTGGCCTTTCGGAATAGACCCTAGGCGTGCTTGGACGTAAGTGATAGTTTTCCACAATAGGGGCTGAGACAAGACAAATGGAGATTCATCCATGAAGAAAAGGGCAAACAGAAAACGGAGTCAGGACATGGTGATGAGACATTTACTGATGTCCTGAGAGGCGCAACGCTGAGGAATAAATTAATATCTTTAGTGAAACGAGGCGATGCCACGAAATGTCTTGGCAGCAAGACGAGTAGGGCTGGGTTCTGTTTTCCCCTTCTCAGGGCTGTGTTGGGTTTTGTCTCCTGTTCTGGGCTTTTCTACAGCGAGATGCACTCCCCTGGAGCGAGGGGCCCACAGCGAGCGTCTCTAAGGCTGAGACCAGGAAATGTGTTGAATGTAGTTAATGAGAAATAACAGAGGCCGGCGCCGCGGCTCACTAGGCTAATCCTCTGCCTGCAGCGCCGGCACCCCAGGTTCTAGTCCCAGTCGGGGCACCGGATTCTGTCCCGGTTGCCCCTCTTCCAGTCCAGCTCTCTGCTGTGGCCCCGGAAGGCAGTGGAGGATGGCCCAGGTGCTTGGGTCCTGTACCCACATGGGAGACCAGGAGAAGCACCTGGCTTCTGTCTTCAGATCAGCGCGGTGCACCGGCTGTAGCGGCCAAGTTGGGGGTGAACCAACGGAAAAAAGGAAGACCTTTCTCTCTGTCTCTCTCTCTCTCACTGTCTAACTCTGCCTGTCAAAAAAAAAAAAAATACAGAAGAGTGCGGGTCTCGTTGAGGCAGAATTGAGTACGCCCAGTACTGCCGTGCCAGTGGTGCTGGCTGTCCCAGCCTTGGGCTGACATGTTCGGGGCTTGCTTCTCTGCAAATCTCAGGCTATCAACTTGGTGCAAAAAGGGAATGAAGATGTAGGAAAAGCACAGTAGGACGTCTGTTGACCGAGTTTCAGATCAGAAGAGGAGCCCGCGTTCTGCTCCTCCGTAGCTCGCAGGCAGGGTCAGCGCGTCTCGTGAACTGTGTCTCCTGCGGCCGAGCAGCGCCCTTTCTGCATCCAGCTGATGGAAGAGCAGCAGGAGCGGCTGGAGGATGAGCCCCCCACCCCCCACCCCCCGCTGGAGAGGAGGTGGAGGGAAGTATCTCAGTCCTGACCCAGGAATCGTGGCCGCAGAGGTCCGGGAGGGGCCTGTAGCAAATCCCGTGCCGTGCCGTGGGTTGGACACTAGCGGGTGAGAGCTCTGTCTGTCTCTCTGCTTTTCAAATAAATAATAAAATTTTTTGAAGATAAATTTATTTAGATGTGAAAAATTTATAGATCCATGTTTTTTCCTGATACATATTTTCCTTGAACTTTTTGGAGACTCCCCCATAAATGAATACAGATTTCATAGATACAGATTTCAGGGCGTTTTGCACCAAAATTTCTTTTAATGCCATTTTATTGAGCTTTTTGAAGTTCCCGCATACATCCATAGCCCTAAAGATGAAGTGCCCTGAAGACAGGAGGAGAAAGCGCAGTCCCAGTTGGCACCCCCAGTGCTTGGTGTCAAGATGAGGTAGCAGTGGTGCCTCCGTCAGTAGGGCAGGTCTGCACTGCACGTGATCTGGTGACTGGTATTAAGCCGAGCTGTGGCACTGACATAGACCCACCCCAGAGTCCTTGTCCCATCTCACATGGCCCTGCGTGGCACTGGGAGAGGTCGGTGGTCAGAATCTGCGCTGTCCGGCTCCCGCTGAGTCGGGTGTGGTGTGAGAACATGCTGTCCTGTGCCATTGGTAATCGAGTGTGTCCTCACTTCTTGGTGTCCGTGTGCGTCTCCCGGTCTTCCCACATCCATGGCCCCGCCGTGTGTCTACTTAAGCTTTCCCATGTATTTCTGCCACAAGCCTGGCCTCCTCTGAGGTCTGTGCGCCCGACGCTGCTCGGCTGCTTCTGGGACCCACCCTGTGGTACAGCCCAGTCTCAGGCCGTTCCCTGAGAAGAGTGGAACGGGGGGTTTCCCCTGTGTCGTTCATTCCCCTGGGTCTGCTGCCTGCTTTGGTCTTGCCCCTGGACGTGCTCCCCTGGGTCTGCTGCCTGCTTTGGTCTTGCCCCTGGACGTGCTCCCCTGGGTCTGCTGCCTGCTTTGGTCTTGCCCATGACGTGTTCCTTCTGGGCGTTGGACGCTCTGGAAGCTGAGCAGGCAAGGCTCGCTGCTGCTGCCAGGCAGTGACTGGTGGCCGCTGGTCCAGGCCGCCTGGCACCAGGTAGACGGTGCTTTCTGCGGCACGGAGCCATCCTTCTCCTGACTGGAGGAAGAGGCCTGACCCCGGGGCCCCTGCTGTCCATGTCCTGATGGAGGAAGAGGCCTGACTCCGGGGCCCCCGCTGTCCATGTCCTGATTGGAGGAAGAGGCCTAACCCCTGGGCCTCCGCTGTCCATGTCCTGATGGAGGAAGAGGCCTGACCCTGGGGCCCCCGCTGTCCATGTCCTGATTGGAGGAAGAGGCCTGACCCCTGGGCCCCCGCTGTCCATGTCCTGATGGAGGAAGAGGCCTGACCCTTGGGACCCCGCTGTCCATGTCCTGATGGAGGAAGAGGCCTGACCCCTGGGCCCCTGCTGTCCATGTCCTGATTGGAGGAAGAGCCTGACCCCTGGGCCCCCGCTGTCCATGTCCTGATGGAGGAAGAAGCCTGACCCCTGGGCCCCCACTGTCCATGTCCTGATGGAGGAAGAGGCCTGACCCCTGGGCCCCCGCTGTCCATGTCCTGATGGAGGAAGAGGCCTGACCCCTGGGCCCCCGCTGTCCATGTCCTGATGGAGGAAGAAGCCTGACCCCTGGGCCCCCGCTGTCCATGTCCTGATGGAGGAAGAGGCCTGACCCCGGGGCCCCCGCTGTTCACGCAGATGG